TTTTATTTAGTTTAATGAACAAGATGTATCATTTTATTTTACATGTTAATTGGCTTATATTATTAGAGAACAGAGACGTTAAACTCTATTACTCTTTATCAGGTTATTAGGCTATTGACTAATCAAACAACGTATATACGAAAGATGAGCAATAAATTAAACAGCCTACTATCACATAAATCACGTATTCATGTTATTGTATGCATTATTGCATTGTTATAGGCTTCTTCATAGGCTTGGTCCATATGAACTTCCTTTGCTTGATATGATTAGTCGCAAAGCATTAAGAGTGCTAATATTGTGAATAAATTGCCTATAAAGGGTGACAAGACCATGACATCTTCGACTAATCATGGTATAAGCCACTGTACAATGGCCTTAATCTTTTCCTTGTCTGCCCCGATCCCTTTAGTAAACACTACAAAATCATGGAAAACATGGCTATCTTAGTTGGCACATTTTTTAGGTTCATTTGTTAGTTTTTTTGATGAAGAACCTCATCTAGTGGATACAATAGCTCGATCTGTTCCTGCATGTCTCTACTTAGTGGATTAACCTGAGTGAAAGCGGCTTTCCATTTTTCAACTTTCATATGCTCATGTTGCGGGTAGGATCAATGGCAGAGATTTGGCTCATGTCCTCTTAGTGCCTATCCTTCTCGCACAAGGCTCAATACAGAAAATCTCAGAAAGTCTCATATATAGATCTTGATCCACATTCAACCATTTTCATAACATACAAAAACATATCAACTCAAAATATCATGCCCTGGCTCAAACCAATCATGAGGTGATCTCGCCGACCTTGATCAAGGGAACCCTCAACCCCTTTTGGTACAACACCCCTTAAACATAATCCTAATGATATTGGTTTTGTGACTCTATGGGCACCGCCTCCAAATTCAAGTTCGCACAGATCCGGCAAGTCATATTTTCTTGGTCACTCCCACTGTGACTAAGAACCATATAAAATCTTGGTGTCAAGGCATTGAAAAGCCACAACCCCAGCAAAAAGCTCAAGGAGCCTTGGGGGCATTTGCATCATTTGTGACCCAAAAGACCACTTCCTAATGTATACAAACATAGGGGTCTTATTAATTTCCCTTTCGAGGGTAACCTGCTTCTTTCTCTGGAAATTCTCCATCGTGTACGACTTGAATTACTCCAACTAAGAGAGTATTTGCCGACGCTTCCTTGGGTCATTGGTGGTGATTCTAATGGCATTCACTGGTATCATGAGAAGAACCACAATGGCTGTATCATGGCAAGCACGTCAGCCTCTCAGATTTTGATTTCAGAAATTGGCTTATTGTTGCCTCTCTCTATGGATCCACCTTTGCATGGTCCAACCATGTCTTTTTTCTGACCCTTATGAAGATAAATAGTTTCTTGGTCTCCCTAAATGGGAGACCACACTTCATAGGCATACACTTCCACACCCCCACACCTTGGTCGAGAACACCTCTGAGCACAAGCAAATACTCTTGACCCTGACCTTTGTTCCTAGGTGTTGTAAAACTTCAGGTTTTAGCTGGCATGGTTCGAAAAGCCCGGTGTCTCCCTCTCTGACAACATCCACCAATGTTAGAGCTCTTATGAAGCTCAGTGCTTGGTGGGATTTTGCCTCACCAAAAAGCTTGAATTATTAAAACAATTGCTTGGACAATGGATCAATGATGGATGACAAAATTATTCTTGTTTTTAATATTCGTTTAATTTCAAAGCATCGTTTGAAAATTCGGCTGCCGGGCGAAAATGCTTACGCACGGGCGATTGGAACACTTGGCAGAGGGCTGGAAAAAGGCCGTTGGCCAAGGGCAAAAAAGTATTTTTTCCTCACTAAGGGGGGAAAGGGTTTTGGAGGGGCAATCTAGCTCCCCTAGACCCCCAAAAAAGTGTTAAACCCCTAATAAACTTAATAAGGAGGCACTTTCACAAAAAAAAAAGAAAAAGAGAAAAAAAGAAAAAGAAAAGAAAACCTTATTGAGGGGCCCTATGGGTTTTCTCATTATATCACTGATTTTTGGCTGCTGTAATGGCGACTAATGGTTAATTGGGAGCAATTAATGGAATTTGAGGAATTGAGTTATGATTTATGTTGATTGTTTTAGAAAGATGGCTTTTTTTATTCATTAAACGTGATTTTGAAATGATCATTGATGATAAAAAGGACCAGTCTCAATGATATGCGTTACTAAATGTGCAAGGGACCCCCCCATAAATTAGGGTTTGTTTCATGTTTGATTAGATGGGAAATTAATTATACGAAAATTAAGAAATTTGGCTAAACCTCCCAAAAACTAATAATAAATTTGAAATTTGACTATGGATCAATGGTATTGCAATATACAGTTTCATATTACACAACAAAGAATTTATGTGAAAAAGTTAATAAATATTGTGTATATTCCTTCATGTACATATTTGAAATTATTGGTATATTGTTGTTTGAAATAAATAAGCTATAGTGCAAAAAACAATGCCTATGTTTGAATAAGTAAACTATAGCCAAGGTGTAACGGATGCCTGCCCTCACACCTTCCCCAGCCCCTTCCCAAAGGTATTTCTGGGTGCATGGCCGCCTAGGCAGGCGCCTCCACCTTCTTGAACATTGTTTAAGAGGATGTATCTTTTTATTTTGGTTTTACGGTTTATTGTTAGTGTTTTTATGTTTTTTAGGTGTTCAAGGTTTTCTTTATTCTTCTCTTTTACTATTCACTGGTTATTGTTCATGGATACTATTCACGTTTTAGTGGTCACATAGGTAAAATTGTCATTATGCATTTTGTGTTTAAGTTAGCACTTTTGGGGTCATTTTAATTATTGTATGGACATTTAATGTCCTTAAACATTAAATGTTATTATTTAAATGGTGCATGGGGCCTAGAGGAGTCATTCCACGTGATTTCAAAATTGAAAGAAAAAGAAAAGCCTTGGCTTTTGGAACCCTAGCTTAGGGTGAGGAGGAAACCGTAGGTTTCTCCAAGTTATCGCTTGTGTTTGGCCTTAAATTTTTGCTGATTTGACTGTTTTCTTAAATTTCCTTCATCATTTTAGTATTATGGCTCAAGTTATTGCTTGTGTTTGGCCTGAAATTTTTGCTGATTTTACTGTTTTCTTAAATTTCCTGCATCAATTTAGTATTATAGCTCAGGGTTTCTTCATCAACAGAGCTAGAAAACTACAACCAAGTCTAGGGTTTCTTGATTATGGGCCAGGTCTTGCTAAATTAACCTAGATCTTAGTGATTTTAGTGAGTTTTTTCTACTACTTAGCTTAGGGTTTGTGACTTCAGCGAACCCATGGTAGCGAGAAGGAATTGTGGACTGGGAAATTTCGTAAACCCACATCGTGATCCCAGAGATGAAGAAATTGCAAGCATTATTCACGGGAAAGACGGTGATCTTTCTGTCCAAAAAGATGTTGAGTAAAAGTGTAAAACCCATTTGACCTCCGTGCCCCTTGTGACGTCGAAAGTAATCGAAGACCTAGGGGAACATGTCTCTGGGGTTTTCAATTTGAAGGAGGAAATTCTTGGCTTTGACAAGGGCTGTATTGAAAATCAATAGGTTGTATATTGGGATTTGCCACCAATCTTCTATATATAGTTAGTTGAAGAACAAGAGCTTGTAGGAGATCTGATCTATGATGATGAACAAGATTTCATGGTTGAACTGATATTTGATGATGGAAAAAGTGAAGGACTCAATGAGAATCAATACGTGAAGTTGGTTCGGCCACTGAATCTGATGTTTATCTCAAAGATGCAGAAGTGGTGTATTCTGCGGCTGAGCCTAAGCAATTTCAACATGGTTATATGGCTGAACTGATGCAATTTCAGCAAGTTTATGTGGCTAAATAGACTCTATCGACATGCAATAAACCTTTGTTTATGGATATATCAATTGATGGTAAAGACTAAGTTTCAATGCACAATCATTGTGCTTTGATTAGTGTAATGAAGCACAAGTCCCAGGATTGTGTTTACAACATTAGGGTTGAAGAAGGTTGTGGGAGTGATGCAAATTTCATCTTAGCACACTGCAAAACTCGAGAACATATTTGACCAACCATGGGAGAATGATGGAGGGAAAAATTATTCTTATTTTGAATATTTATTTGATTTCAAAGGATGTATATATTTGTTTTAGCTTTAGGGTTTATTTTTAGGTTTTTTAGGTGTTCTAGGGTCTTTTTTAGTCTTTCTTTTACTATTTACTGGTTACTATTCATGGATACTATTCTCGGGCTATTGTTCTCAATTGTTATCTATTTGCGACATGCGACACCAAAATAAGAAAGAACTTAGATGGGGTAGAATTATCATCATGCATTTTGTGTTTAAGCATGGACATTTAATGTCCTTGAACATTAAATATTATTCTTTAAAAGGTGCGTGGGGCCTTGAGGGCTCATGCCATGTGATTTTCAGAATTAGAAGAGAAAGAAAAGCATAGGCTTTTGGAACCCTAGCTTAAGGTTAGGAGGAAACCCTAGGATTCTCCAAGTTGTTACTTGTGTTTGGCCTGAAATTTTTGCTATTTCACTATTTTCTCAAATCCTGCATCAAGCAAACTGTTGTCTGGAAATATTTACTCATGTAAGGAGTCCTTTAAGAAAGAGATGGAGAACCTAGACCTGATTGAAGGGTTTAGAGACTTATCTCAAGTATAGGAGGCCACCCCTAGGCAAGAAGAAGAATATCGGTACCAGCGATCCAGGGAAGGCAGGGGACAAAAACACAACTTTCCTTCCACAGAATAACAAATTGCTGAAGAACAACCTATAGCATTACCTAGATTATATTTTGTGGTCATGTCTTCGAGGACCTCCATCACGTCAAACTAGTCATTAAATTTTTTTAAAAACTATTCTCTTCCAAGGATGGCCCTCTACCACATTTGTCCAACTTTTCTTTCATGGCTTTGCCAAGGACATGGTGGCTTAGCTTGAAAGAACTTTCGATGAACAAGAGGTCCTTTGGGAAGTGGTGGGCTTTGGACCAGGGCAAAACCTTTGGTCCTGATGGGTCCCTTGTCATTGACTTCTATAGATTCTGGGATGTCCTTGCTCTAGACTTTCTAGCCTTCTTTAACCTGTTTTAACACAGTGGTAGAATCCATAAATGCATGAATTCCACCTTCGTGGCCAAGGGGCAAAACACCTTTAAGACGTCCTCCCACTTAGTCTCCTCAATAGATTCTACAAAGTCCTCGCTGAGGTCCTAGCCTCGAGACTGGAAGAGGTACTCAACCTGGTTGTTTCCCCGACACATAAAGCCTTTGTTGAAAATAGACAAATTCTATGCAGGGCTTTGCTGGCCTGTGAACTTATTCGCTACGCACATGGCTCTTCACTTGGTGGTCAAACTTGTATGGGAAAGGCCTACCATTATGCGGACTGATTCTGCTTGACAACGTCCTATCTAGAATGGCGTTCAGTGAGTGATGGAGATCCTCTATTAGGGGGTGCATCTCCTCATATTTCTTTTCCATCCTTGTAAACGGATCCTTAGAGGTTTCTTCCCTACCTCCAGAAGCCTGAGATAGGGAGAACATCTCTACCCTTTCATCTTTGCTATAGTGGCTGAGGTCTTCAGCCAATCAATCTCTTGGCTTGACAGGCTTAAGGGCTTCTGCTCCTCCCGAAGGGCCCAAAATTCACATGCTGATGATATGTTCATCTTCTATGATGACCTTGTTGAGCAGTTGGACTTCCATCGGCTATTGCTCTGATGTTTTGAGATGTCAATTGGCATGAAGGTTAATATGGTAAAGATGAAAATCATGGGAGGTGGAGTGGAATAGCTGCCTAAGTTACCTAGCTCGTAGACTAGGTAGCGGGAGCATGCTTCTCCCATCCTGATATCTGGGTTTGCTTCGTTGCCTAGGTAAACCATGCGAGCACCTTTGGGACCATATCTTAGAAAAATTTCAGCGCAAGATTGGTTGCTTGGAGGGGTAGGAATTTGTCATTGGGAGGCAGCATAACTCTCATCGAAGCCTTGTGCTCTGACATATATCTTCCAAATTTCTTTCTTCTCCACACTTGCATCCATCATAGCCAAACTGAAGAGCCTCATGATGCCTTCATCCCTTGCAGCCAAATTGGAGACCTCATGGAGTTTATGGTTGAGGTCGAATGGAGACCACAAAGTACACCTCATTACTTGAAAGAAAGTGCACTCCCCCAAAAAGGAGCACAGATTGGATATCAAGAAATTACATGACTGCAACATTGCCCACTTGGGCCCTGGTGGTAGCGTTTGGTAATGGCAGAGAACCGTCTATGGTAAACGGTGCTATTGGAGAACTACGAAATGGATGACTTAGGCTGGTTTCCCAAAGGCATCCCAATGCTTGTGCCACCGCGACTTGGAAAAGCATTGGACAAAGGCACTATAAGTTCAAGGGACAAAGTAAACAAAGATGAAAGAGTCCAGTTTTGGAAAGATCTGTGGCTTTGGGATTCAGTCCTGGAAAACTGTTTGCCAAATCCAATGAGGCTAGCGAAAATCCCTAAATCATTGTCGCCCTCTTGGTGGAAATAAAGGCGGGGGGAGGGGTTGGGTGGCCAATGTGTGGAACCCCACTTTTCATAGTCCACTGTTCGACTATGAATCCCAAGATCTGACTACATTGTTCCACCTGCTGCAATCTTTCTTCGTGGAGGGAAGGGGCACAATCTTTTGGACCCCACCTTCCGTAGTAAATTTACTATCTCGTTCTATAAAGGCCTTAACCCAACCCTGGCCCTCCTGTTCATTACTAATACAGTCTGAAATGTCCCAATCCCTTGCAAAATACGAGCTTTGGATAGTTTTATGCAATCGTGCTCTCACCACAAACCAGCTCCAAAGAAGGGGTTTCCAACTTTCCAACTGTTGCATCATGTGTAAAGAGGAGGAAACCATTGAACACCTATTTCTACGTTGTGAGGTTGCTGCGCAGTTGTGGACTAGCCTGCTACGACACTTATGACTGGGTCTGGATTATGCCACTCTCTGCTTGACTGCTCTTCCAAGCCTTCTTCCCCACCTTACCCTGCGGCAGACCTTTTCCTTCATGTGCTTTGGCTCTTCACTTCATGGACCATTTTTTGAAGGAAAAGAAATAACCAAAATTTTTAAGGGAAGTCATTCACTGTTCAAGCCATCCAGGATAGAATACGAGCATCCACTTTTTTTTAGACCAAAAGCTACAAATATCTACACACCTTCTCTCCCATGGACTTTGTAGTAAATTGGAGGGACATTCTTCCTTCTGGGCCTTGGCTATCACTAGATCAAGCATTTGGAGCCCCTCATTGCATGGCTCTTCGAAGGTCAATGGTTGTTGTTCTCTTCTAGACCTTGCCCTGCAGGTTACGGGCCATCCTAAGAGATTGCCAGGGAAATCATATCCTCCGCTCTGGCTATATTGGTATTGTTGACTCAACAATGGCCAAGACAATCTCCCTACTTGAAGGACTCAAAAGGAGCCTTTGATTGGGAGACTCTGGTAGTGACGTGATAGTTGAGGGTGAGTCCAGCAATATCATCCTATTGGCTTTTAAGGGTGATCCCTACATGAACGATATGCCTCCTTATGATAAATTTTGTATTTTCTTGATTCTCTATTTCCAAGTAAAAGGATAGGCATAATAGAGTAGCTTCTTAATTGTGTTTGAATTTTAGTGCATATTGTCTTGTATTTCTAAAAATAATTTACACCAAATTATACAAATCTAAATGTTGTCCGAAATTTGTATTTATCTCTGTAACATGTAAAACTTCTTCTTTCATAAATCGATTTACTTCCATAATATCCATGAATCCCAGATTGGGATGGATGCATAATTTGTATAGTTTTTTTTTATTTTCTAACCGCAATTGAGGCAGGCTTTCTCCCTCAAGTTTTCATCCTATCCCTTTTTCTCATATTTACTGTTGATTTCATCTCTTTTTCTAATACTGCCATCCATCTCTTTCACAATTTTAATGAGTAGGAATTGTGTTAATCTAACTATAAAAAAATATCAATTGAAAGTTTAGTTATTGATATTTCATAAATCATTAGAAGAATTGCACAAACACGGACCTTATTGCATGTGTATCCATGTAAATATATGATTGTGTTTTTGTATGTGAGTATTAAGCAAATGCTGTCAATACATGGATGTGCTCACACAAGTGCAAGTATGTATGTCAGTAGTTAATGGCTTGCCCCTTTTCGCCATGGAGCTCAAGTTTATATTCTATGGTTTTGTAGACTACTTAGTTTATATATATATAGATGTATTAATGTGTGCATAACTGTGTATGCGATGGTAAATGGTATTGGAGCCTTTTTGTTATCACAGTTTAAGTCTTACGTATGCATATTTATTTGCTCATATATTTTGCAGGGATTTATGTCGATATTGCCCCTATGAATTTAAATAAGGAGGCATATCGTTCATGTTTATATGATTCTTTTTTTTGAGAGTATCCTTCATGTTTATATGATTGTACACAATTTATCATAATTATTTATTGATTGGCATGTGTTTGTACTTGATGGGTGTTTCTTTTATTTTTTCCCTCTCTTCATTAGCGGCTTAACCAATTGGAATAACACCTCCACAAAGTCGCTGATTGAATTTAACCTGTGTTTCATGAACTGATGATGGGCTTTTTTAGTTTTCTTTTCAGTTACAGATTTTCTTTGTTACTCACTTTTTGGATATTCAATCGGCGAAGCTTGTAGAGCTTTGCAGGTATTTCTGAAATTCTTTTTTTTTTCTATTGGGATTTTGGAGGAGATATTGCTATACTTAGTCATATTATATCAAGGAAAAAGTTTATATAAGGTTGGAATCTTAAAATGTAGAATTATGATGCACCTAAAATCCATCATAAAAGGCTTTCTTGAAGTTGGAAAACCCACTAATTGATCATCTTGACATCGAGATGGATGACCATGAAAAAAATGACTTCGAGTCCCAAAAATAGTGCATCTAGCAACACATTATCTGGACCATCCATTTCCAATGTTTGCATGTGCCTATAGATCTACTTGATTTGAAGCACTTTTGAAGTCTAAAATTATATAATTAGAGATGACAATGGATTCTTAAGCCATTCTAAGAATTTTAACACCAAAATTACATCTTACGATAAATTTTTTTAGTGCATCTTACTTTGAGTGTTTAAGGTTGCAACCTTATGCAAACCACACCCTTATATCAATTTTGAATAATTTTGTAGACACTTACGTTTTTCAATCTGTCATTTTCTCTGTATTTTCATGGATTCTGCTTTGTCAATTAATTTTTAAAAGTTATTATCCTTTTCTGGTCATGCTTTTTGATATTTGTATGTTTTGAATGTCAATTATTGTATATTTGTGATGAAATTTATGTTATGTTGAGTAAAATGGCTTAGTGTTTAGGTGATTTTTATTTTAGTGTTATTCCTTAGTTTTGGATATCTCTCTTACCACCAGTTAGGGTCGTGCATTGCATGCCTTGTCCGCTAATCACACACACAAATGCACTCCTCTTGCTTCCTTGTGTTGATTCCATGTAGAAGAAATTCCCATCTTCTTACTCTTCTTATCTTTTCAGTTTTGAGTTTATTCCTTGGATAAGCATCTTCTCCTCATTGTCACTGATTTCAAATCTTAATACTCTTGAAATCATAGTGGGTGGTCTGCCAAGTGGTCTTGTCCAGTTTCACTTGTCATTTGATGGCCCACAAAGGCAAAGGAAGTGGTGCGGTTTTGAATTGGAATGGAGATAGCAATGGAAACAAGCAGCAACAGCTCCTGGATCGGAGCAAGGTAAGAATTTTATTGTGTGACAATGATTCTAGCAGTTCCCAGGAAGTTCTGCGACTGCTGTGCAAGTGCTCTTATCAAGGTACACTACTTATCGTACATACCTTTACCTTCTCCTTCCTTCTCGGTTCTCTTATTACCAACGTTGTCTCGTGCTATTTCTTCCTATTTGTGTGTGTGTGTGTGTGAGAGAGAGAGGTGGCTACTGATGATTGTTTTTTTTATTGTGTGTTATCTGGACAGTGATGTCAGCTACTGATAAATGTGTTTTTTTGTTTTTTTTTTAATGGATCCGTTTTCTGGCCAGTAACCTCAGTGAGGAGTGCAAGACAGGTCATCGATGCCCTTAATGTGCAAGGACCCGACATCGATATTATACTTGCAGAGGTTGATCTTCCCATATCCAAAGGCTTGAAACTGCTCAAATACATTACAAGGCAGGAGAACTTGAGACACATACCCATTGTCGGTGAGTAGAATGTGCACCCTCTGTCGATTTCCCTCTCTCTTGGCTGTCATCCTCATTTCCTTTTGTTCCCTCAAATTGGCTTCATTTGTCCACTTGACATGGTTGTTCATCTCCTACCCAGTGATGTCTGCCCAGGATGATGTGTCTGTTGTGGTCAAGTGCCTGAGATATGGAGCTGCGGATTATCTCGTGAAGCCATTACGCACCAACGAGCTTCTTAACTTGTGGATTCACATGTGGAGGACACGGCGCATGGTGGGTGGTACTTTTCTTCTAACTCTCTTACCATTGATGAGCTTAGCTTAATGTCTTTTAACAACTGATAGCAACACTGGATTCCCTACTAAACGCAGCTTGGGATGGAGAAGAAGAACATTTTGAACCATGATTTTGAGTTGATGATGTCAGACCCTAGTAGTGCAAATACAAACAGCACTACTCTTTTCTCAGATGAGACAGATGATAAGAAATCAAGAAGAAGTACAGTTCCCGAATCAAGTGTATCAAATCATCCAGATAGTTGTGACGTAAATATGAACTTCTTGCGAGATTCGGTGCGCTTCTAGATTGTTTACCTAGTTGAATGGTTTACTAAATAAAGAATCTACTGATGCCCCATTTTTTCCCATCAATTATATTTTTTGACTATACTCAGTTTGTAACATGACTAAATTTGTAAGCGACTGTAGAAAAAAAAAAAATGGACCAAATCACATCCGCTAGGATTTCATTACAATATATATGAGATATATTTGCCTTTTGTTTTGCAAAAATGACATGTCTTCTTGGATTACAATGACCGTCTCAGTACTACAATGCATAATGTACTCCATGGAATATATGCAACACTATCTTATACTCTCCCCCTGAAGTTGGTGCATGGATGTCAAGGATGCCCTACTTGGAAGTAATTGTGTGCATCAGAGTCTTTCCCATTGCTTTGGTAAAGACATCACCTAGCAGATCTTTGGTCTTCATATATGGAGTACATATGAGCTTAGTGGTCACATCTTTACTTTCAAAGTGACAGTCGATCTGAGATTGTTGGGGTTTTGTGGCCTTTAAAGTCCGTGAGAGCATGCAAATAAAAACATTATATTTAAATTATACACTTTAGTGGGAGTGTATGTGTTTGTTGACTGATTAAGGGTTAGATGGTCTATAGCCCTGTTCATGTCCAAAACCCTTTCCCTTGGGTATAGGCACTACTACCATTGAGGGTTTCAGGACGGTCATCCCTTGTTGAGTTTGGATAGATGCTTAGGGATGCTTTGTCGACCAGGAGAGCCTTGTGGTCTTCTGTGTGAGGTTGTAGGCTTGTGAGAGCGAGGGCTAAATCCTCTAACAAACTTCCGCACGGATATACACGTGATAACTGCATTTTAGGAGGCTACCTTGAAAAGGGATACGTGTATGTCTGCATAGAGAGAGTCTACCTTGTACTATAATGATATGTGCGTGTCACTTGCTCTTAAGGGGGAACTTGTAGTCCATATTTTGGGACCTAAGTTTCATTATTTATTTGGCCATCCTTGACGAGCTAATCATGGGCTTTTGTATGATCAAGTAGGTCATGGGTCTCGCTGGGTTGGTTTGAGAAGATAGTCGAGGATTATGGTTATTGGTTGTGTCTAGTGCCCTAACTTTCACTTTTCTTGACCCATTAGTACCAACACACTTTTATAAAAAAAATTTAAGCTTAAGAAATGTTTATGCAATTCTTAGAATGTTTCTAAAAATTTTAAAATCATTTTCAACAATAAAAGAAAACCCTAAAAAGCTATTTTTCATAATTTCTGGTTTTGTTGCGGATGAGTGGGACCCACATGGGGGGGATCCCACACTTGGGGAACCCACATGGAGTGGGATGTGGGGCCCACTAAAGCCACATGCCCCACATGGTGATCACGCGCCAAAGTCTTTGAGAAAAAGTTTTTGCACATATTTTGTGGGAGTAGAGAATATATGTGTTTGGAAAATATTCTTTCAATCTTTGAATTTGACCAAATTTTTTTGACTTGAATTCCTAAAAACTTTTTGCGAGAGAAAAGGAAATTGGAAATTGACCAAAAATTTTGACTTTCAATTCCTAAAAATGTTTTTGGTAGAGAAAATAAAATTTTGGGGAAAGCAAAAGATGAGATTTGGTTGATCTTCTCCTTGGTTGGCTAGAAGTGGATGTAGGTAAAAAATTTAGGGGATCCTTTAGATTCCTCCTTAAATCATGATGGCTGTTTTTTTGTATTCATTAGTCAAATTTGTTTCTCTCACCTCAGGTTACCTACTATGGCTAAGCATAATTCTAATTCAGATTGGCATACCGGGACCTCTTGAAGGCTATATTTGGAGGGCAGCCTTTCTTATTCTAAACACTTGATTTGTAGCCTTTCCCTCCCTCCTCTCTCCGCCACATCTCTCTCTTTCTCTCTCTTCTCTAGTCTCTCTCTAAGGGGTGGCATGCCCCACCCAAGCAATCTTGGTGTGGCATACTCACTTAAAGGTAAGAGAGAAGGGCCACCCAACCCACTTTTGTGAAAGGCTGGTGCTAATAAGGTGGCATATGCTCATCATTAACATCATAGCCTTATCTTAACTATTTATGGTCATATGTGAATCCTGTTTCGTCATTCTGCTCTATCAAGGGCCATACCCTCAGTACGACTATAAGTCTCCATATCTTTGTTCAATATCAAGGACCATACACTCCACCTATGCGTATGCTGTTTCTTGACCACCCTACATTCTGTCCCATAAAGCAAAGCTGGTCTCACAACTGCTTTACTGAACTTGCCCTTCAGCTTCATTGGTATGCGGCAACCACATAAAATTCCGGTTGCACATCTACACTTCGTCCACCCGGCTCTAATTCTATGTGCAACATCTTCCTCTTTAGTATTCTTGGCCATCAATCTTAACCATTTCCTTGTCTCTACTCATATTATTACTAAATTTGTATTTTCATATATTTTGTCTTAGTCTGGCTAATTTTAGAACCTTCAGATTCTAGAGCATCCCTCTAGAGTTCTAACTTTGTTTTGATGCTGCTTCAGATCTCATATATGTAGAGTATATCGTCTGCAAACAATGTACACCATGGTACCTCATCTTGTATGTGTCTAGCTAAGTCGTCCATAACCAAGACAAAGAGGTATGGACTAAACACTGACCCCTGATGTAGACTTATCTTCACTGAAAAGTCCCTCGTCTCTCACTAGTTGTTCGCGACTATTTACTACTCCCTCGTATCTATCCCTCATCAAGTCGATATAGTATTGGAGACTCCTTTCTTTTCCAACACCCATCAAATTAAATTTGGAGGTACTCTATCATAAGCTTCTCTAGATCAATAAAGACCATATGGAGGTTTTTTTCCTTTGCCCTAAACTTCTCAATCAATTTCTTAAGTAGGAAAATAGTCTCAATTGTTGACCTCCCTGACATAACCGAATAGGTTTCCTGATTGACTTATTTCGTCGCTGCTCAATCACTCTCTCCCACAACTTCATAGTGTAGCTCATAATTCTTGGCTCGATGAATGTAACGAAGTCCCATAAGAAACTTGGGGATCTGACACATCCTTATGAATGACATTAGAACTATTGTCCAATGACAAGATTGCTATATTCGAGATTTGATTTAATTCAATCAAATGGATGAGAGGTAGAATGGTTCTCAAAGCTCCCCTCTGCACCTCCAAGCTACGACCAGCAATTCATAAAATTTACCAGTGATGATCCCTACATGAATATTGATAGTTCCTTCATGAATATGCTTGCAGTTTCCTTCATCTGCTGCTAACAATTAGGGCTGCCAATGGTCCGGGCCGGGCCATGAATTCGGACCTTTTTTGTGCCGTTTTCGGGCCCAGTCCAGGCTTCTGGCCTGGCCAAAAGTAAAATATTATTTATCGGGATGGGTCGGGCTTTAAGCAGGCCAGCTCGAAATGGCCTAAAAGGCCCGAATGCCCTCTCCCCCAGCCCAAACGCTCTCTCTTTCTCTTCCATCTGTCCTCTCTCTCTCTCTCTTTGAAGAAGTTGTAAAGGGAACCCCAAGGCCAACAAACCCTAGATAAAACGCCTCTCTCTATCCCATCCGCCGCTTTCTCTCTCTCTCTCTCTTCCATCTGCCACTCTCTTCTCTCCCCCATCTACCACTCTCTCTCTTCAATCTGCTACTCTCTCTTTCGCGCTTTCTCTCTCTTTCTTTGGCTAATAGATAATCAGGTAGTAAGGAATGCAAGTGAAGGCGTAGCTAGAATTGCCTGGTTGCCGAGCCGTGTTGATTAGTGAGTTGTAAAACACTGCTGCAAGAAAGCAAATTGTGTGATTTTGGACTTAAATAGCCCTCATTTATAGTCGCAAGCCTTTGGCTTAGTGGTAAGACACCTGGTTTGCAGTGGTAGAGGTCTTGGATTGAAGACAGTAAATCCAATAGTATGGCAGTTTCTTGAGCTGTGGAAATCAAATCCATCTTTCTGGTGCATGGAACATTAGGATATGGCCGAAGAGTATTTGTTCACCTGTCTATTTAGAATGAAGATTTTGAGCAATCATGGTTATCAATCATAGACATTTATGCTCTATAATACCATATATATAGAAGTGGCCACATGGAAAGTTTTCTTTTTCTGGCCCACTCTGTTTGGGTACTCAACAATGGCAGGCGCTTCTGCATCTTGTGGGAGATAGATCAATCCTCTTTTTCCATGGATCAACTAAATAGTTGAAGGGGACTCTATTAATGGTATTAGGGGATGCTCGGCATCCCTTGGAAGCTTGTTGATATCATGAAGGAAATTATCTAGCTCAGGCAAATGGCCATGAATTCTTCTGAAATTCTGTCAATGCATCAATTATCCAATTGGAAACGAGCTGTCAATACTTAGAGCATGTAGGCTGTGGTCTCATGTTCCTTAAGATGTGTTCTAAGCTAGAAAGAGGAGTGTCAGAAACTCAAAAGAACTTTGTTTCTTCATTTAATTACAAGGGGTGAAGGAGCAAGTTATGGTGAGGGAGTGAGGGCAGTCAATGTGCGATAGGTTGCTTGAATGGTGCTCTGGTAGTGGGCCATTGGACTTTACTTGATCTTGTTTCTTTGGTCCTGCTTGACAGGATTCTTGGATTTTACATTGTCTTTTCTTCTTTCACATTTTTATAGTGATGAACCATTTGTTTCTTGTAAGTTGGTCTAGCAAAATGTATAAGATGTGATTGTGGATGGGAAAACATTATTCGTCACAGTATCTGTGTTGCCACATTTTCCAACTTCTTTGTTAGGTTACTTCATTTTAAGGACATAGATTACCAAAACAATGGTTGATTAAATTTTGAGCTATGTTTAGTACTATTTCGGCAACAGTCAATTTCTAGTTCTATCCTTGATTTTAAAAGTGTGGCATTTTTCAAGTTATTGCATAGAAGTTTACCGAAATGGCTTCACTTTTGTAGTCCCATGCAATGGCCGATGTGGAGCTTTCACATAAACATTTATCAGATCATCGAGTAGAGGATCTGCCACTGAACTATTATGCAGGTGAGTACATTCATACTTCACTTTGAATTTGGATTTTTGAATGCACTTGCTGTTGAATTCTCGCTTAGTTCTAAATCTTCAGGAAAAGTCTCATCAATCCCAAAGAAAAGTGAATTGAAGGTGGGGAAGTCATCGGCCTTCTTCACATATGTCAAATCAAGTACAATAATGAACAAATTTTCCGGGGTTAGATCTTTGGGGGAGAACTCTCACAAGGGTTCAGAGGAACACCCAAGAGAGCAACCTGTAATTGGTAGCTTAATTACTGTAGGCCGAGATGCTGATGGATCTCCAAGTAGAGATACAAGGAGAAAGTCTTATGGGAAAGATGTTCCATCAGGTGACAAGGACTTTGATGTGAACATTGTCCAATATTCTTGTGGCATGTCAGTGCCATCCAAGTGTACGCAAGAAATGAAACTAAATAATGAGCAGATTCATGACATCAAACTGTGTTCAGGCAACTCTGGTCAGGTTGGCATTTCGGGTTCCTCCCATTCTACACCTCCACTTTGCATGTCGGGAACTGTCAACCATATTGTACTGCCATCTGCACAGCTGTTTCAAGGAGGTGTGCATGATGTACGACAACATTGTTCTTCAGGTGTCCTTCCTCCTTACAATACTTATCCTCACTGCCGTAGCATGACTATGATGTCAACATGTTCATTTTATCCTATTGGGGTCCATTTACAACCTGTTCAAATGCCATGGCCTGCACTGACAAACAATGTAACCTCAGAAGTGAAGTCTGTTCGAGTGGATAAAAGAGAAGCAGCATTGATTAAGTTCCGGCAGAAAAGGAAAGATCGGTGTTTTGACAAAAAAGTAAGATATGTCAACAGAAAACGCCTTGCAGAAAGGAGGCCTCGAATTCGAGGTCAATTCGTAAGGCAAGTTAATGGTATGGAAGTTGACACTGATAGACGGCCTGGTGCTGTCAATGATTCTGATGAGGAAGATGGGGATGAGGATGAGGATGGACCCATTTCCAGTGAACTTGGGGTGGATTCTTCTCCTGAATATGATGCTTCAGAATTTTGATATGGCTTTAATGAACTTAACATGGTAAGAACTGTATTATTAATTGCTTTGTAATGCGTGCTCAATATTGTGGTGATTTTAATATTAATTGTAATTTTATATAAATCTTTTTATGACTGAGTCGGTTGTGTTTTTAATAAGGTTTGAATCTGTTAAAAAATCTGTTGTTTTCATGAAATGTGAATTTGAAAGATGATTTATTGCAAGTTGCTTGCTTGGCGGATGATAAAGAACCTTATTTTTTGTCGGTCTCTTAATAGTTATTTTATTTTATTTTTTGATATGCTCCAAAGACTTCTTTTATAGTTCTTTTTGTTTACAGCTATTGATGGAGATTTTGGACCCCTGGTTTCCTCATAAGGTTTACAATATCCTTTGTGAATCTGATCATCTCCCTGCATTACAGAGATGATGCTCTTAGTTTTCGAGCTGTTGATTTTGGTGATTCCTGGATAATTTGAAGGAACCTCACCTTGTCAAGTATTAGGGTGCATGGACTTGGGAATAGGCATGAATTGGTCAGGGTGGCGGAGCCATGATGTGATGTCGCGGGTTCCATTCCAACCTACTGTATATTCCGTCAACAAATCAGAGAGAGAGAGAGAGAGAGAGGGAGAGAATTTGCGTTCCCATGATTTGGAATGTAGTCTGGATTCCCTTCTTGGGAAATACCTTGGGCTTACCTCTCGTGTCTGCAGAATTGGCAAAGGCCTGTCCTAATCTTTGGTCAAGAATTCTGGGAGGAGACTGATCATGTGGAAAACCAAATTTTGATCATCAAGTCAAAGGTTCATGCTGATCAAGGCGCTCCATTCAAAGGCTTCTATATTTAACGAGACTGAAGAAGGTAATATTACATCGAATTCTTCGGCAAGTTAATGATGATTGCCAAGGATTCCATCTGGTTGGATGTCCATCCTGGACAAGATTTGTGGCTAGCACCATGGCAAACTTGAGGATGAGGTGGGTTGTTCACCATCTAGAAAGTTGGAGAGTCGGTGAAAGTCCCAGAGGGTTGGAGGGGTTTAGGGTTTAGGAGGACTCACAATCCCTTGTTCTCATTATTAAGGTTGGGCTATCTGTGTTTTGATGGCCTTTGGTGGCATAAGAGCGACTGGAGGAACAATAGAACCTCCAAACTTATTTTCAATGGAACCTCTAAACTTATTTTCAAAATATGTTGTTCCAAAACCAATATATTCTTATTCCACTTCACAAATTGGGATAGTATACGATGATTATTTACTTCTGATACAAAGAGGTCACGATTAATTGCAATTATTTGATGTGAAATCTAATAGCTTGGAAGTGTCACAAAGTTTGAGAAAATTTCTTTTGAAGTTTGAGCTTGGTCAATGAAATAAATGTAATTATCTAATTTCACATCAAATGATCAAGATTGATTGTGATCACTATTATTGAAGATAAAATGATCTCATTGTATATTTTTCTCCACAAATACTATCAGAACTTATGATAGGGCTTTTATGAATTACACCTTTTTGGGCCTACCCTTATCTCGGTTTGCTGCCCAAAGGAAAGCTTGAAATCAATTTTGTTAACCTTTACTTGATATCTAGGCTTAAATGTTGGAAAACTAAAACTATTCCAAACCTAGGGGAACTATGACCCTGATAGATATTTACCTCAACCCACTTATGCTCCACTGGTGTATTCTCCACTGGTGTTGCATAGACAAACTTCCCTCCACCACAACCAACATCATTGAGAGCTCCACATGGGCGGGTAGCAACCCTACTGAAAACGCCCAAGCCTTGTCAAATGAACCTCAATTACCAAAAATATCTTCAAATGGATAATATATGCCAATGATTTAAAAGACGGATCGTTGACAAGTTCAGACATCACAAAAACCGGTTTGGGTAAATCGGTGGTCTGGATTGCCGTTTTATTGTGTGGAAAGAAATAATGAATCAACAAAAAAATACGTGCAAAAATAGTGGACTGGTCAAGAGCCAATCTATATATTGATAGAATCCGTCTTGGGTGAACAATTCCCGTGCCGGGCCGGCATTTTTTTAAATCACTGATATATGCTACATGTGCAAACCTGAGAATAAGGGCAGTGACCACCTATTTACTACTTGGAATTTTGCCCATCGCCAATGTAGAAATTCAATACTCAAGTGGCCATTCATGTACCCATACCTCGCACCAATTGCCTTAGAATGATTTATTACTGCAGATTTGACCTTCTCAATGAAAACACGGAATTTTAGACTAACTTTCCCTTTCTCTCTTAAATGATTCTCTCTTTTTTTATCCCTCTCTCTCTCTCTCTCCTCTTCAAGGTATCAACCCATGAATTTTCATTCATTTATTTATTTTTGCGCTTTGCATTTTTGTTCTCTTTCTCTACTCTTTGCATCTTTGTTGTCTCTCTCAACTCTCTCGCCCCAACCCATCCAATTGTTTTTTTTAAGGTTACTAAAAAAGGCTACATTTTTTATGCAAAGAGGATTTCTATAACTACTCTAGGGAAATCAAACATATTTGGTAGTACGTGGAAAGAGCATCATGGTCCTTCTCTTGAAAACTTGGAGTATGTGGAAAGAGCATCATAGTCCTTTTCTTGAAAACTTGGAGTATGTGAAAAGAGCATCATAGTCCTTTTCTTGAAAACTTGGAGTGTTTCATGAATGAGAGAGAGCTTTAACCACTCGATTTCACATCCAATAGTATTGTGACCACCTTGTATAAAAAATAAATTGTTTTCATTGTATATTTTTTCTATTACTAAATCAATTCTTTCTTGCCCAAAAAGATTTATTTATCCAAAAATGCAAATATTTGTGTTATATTATCTTAAGAACAAATAAATGTTAAAGAAATAATAATATTAAGAACAAATAATCCCTTTCTTTTACTCTTTTGCTAATATAACTGAATACATTCTCTTTTTGCAAATAGAATTATTTTCTAAGAATAATATAGCACAAATAATTTATTTTTTCCTTTTTCAAGTATTCTTATTTATAATCCAAAATCCAATCTTTTAATTGCTTTGTTATTTCTGTATTTGTCTTTCATGTTTACATAGAAATTTCACGTTTTCTTTTTTTCATTCCCCAAAAAAATTCTTCTATTATTTGATCCTATAAAAAATAGAAAACACAGATACTTCCTTTTTTATTTTTTTGTAAAAATTATCATTGAAATCGTGATATAGTAGTAAATGGTTTCTTTTTTTGGAAAACTATAATATACTATCTGGAAAATAATAGATATTTTCTTACCCAAAAAAATATTTAGTATCCAAAGGTACAAATAATTGTGTTATATTATCCAAAAAACAATATAGTACAAATGATTTCTTTCTTTCGTGTTTTTTGTAAATAATTTAATTGAAATTAACTCTTTTTTTGTAAAAAGATTTATTATAAAGAATAGGACAATACTTTATTTTTTCTTGTTTCTTTTTTTGTATCTTCTAAAATCAAAACCAAAATTGAAGAACAATTAAGAACAATTGTTTCATACGGGCTGAACCGCATTTTTACAGTACGATGGTCAAGAAGTATAAAGTGTCCATCTTAACGATGGATGCAAATCGGTGCTCCATCTAAAAACAATTGTAGCTAACGGTCCAAATACTTGCTCGATCTAATTATTATTTCTAGCTTTTAAAATTTATTTATTTATTATTTTTATGATCTTCGTGTTAGAAATTATATATTCTCAAAAAAATTAGGATCAAATTATATTTAAAAAATATATCTACTACCAAGCCCGCATTCCTACAATATGCGGCTCGCAGCATTCTAACCTCATCCAATAATTAAAAATTGCACAAACTATATATATATATATATATATATATATATATTTACGTATTTGGTTCATCTTTTATTATGCACCTAGCAACTTTCCTTCGTTTATTTTGAATTTTTGAGTTTACTTTTTCTTAAGGCTTGTACCTATTTAATAATATCCAATACGTAATAACATAAATAGATTTTATCAATGAGCATTATAATGTTGGATAAGAAATATTATTGTTTATGGAAAATAATACAGTAATCTTTGTTTTCTTTTTTGTATCTTCCAAAATAAAAACTGAAATTAAAGATAGTAAAAAGTAGCACAACTATATTCAATATATGTAATAGGAATTCTATTTAATAACATAAACATAATTTATTAATAAGAAATATAATATTTAATAGGACTTATTTGATAGTAATATAATAATATAATAGAGTTTTTAACAAACGAATTATTATATTTAATATTTAATATAAATTATATTTAACAACAAGAAAATTATTAATACCATAATATAAGGGTTAACAAAAATTCTCTTTGAAATTAGATGTCCATCAATAGGGAAAGTTTTCTATGTTCCCCTAGCTTTTTATGTTCTCCCTACAACATAGAAGTTATATCCTTCTTTTTATCCAACCATCTATTTTTGAATGGAGGGCTAAGATCGTCTCAATCACGATGTCACGTCTCTATATGATTTTATTTTTAATTTTTTTCTATAAACTATATTGACATCAAATTTTGGTATCCATTCATCTATTAAACTCGTACTAACGAGAAAAAAAAAAAAAAACCTCTATTAAACTCGTACTAACGAAAAATAAATAAATAAATAAATAAAATGACCAAATTACCTTTGAAGTTTCAATAAGTATTCTGGTTATTATTTTTTATCGAAAAATTATTGTTAATATTTTTTATAGATACGCCCCCGTTGACAAGATGGTACATACTAAATTTCATATTAAAAAAAATCTGTATTATAAAATTAAAAATAAAATATTTTGAAATGTCGGATCTAAGATCAAACGGTAAATGACTCTTTTTATAAAAAATGGACGGCTGGATGATAGGAGAAGGGGAAGGATTGAACTTCTGTGTAGGGGGAACATAGCGATCAATTTACACGAGTCATTATCACTCTTTCGTCATGTTCCTGTTCATCTGTTTGTGTCTCACACCCCTGCGTTCTCGCTCTGTGCATTATGGCTCACAACTCTGCACTTTCTCTGGCTCTCACACCCTTGGACACTCTTTGCAAATCCCTCTACCCCTAATTTGGGTTGTAGCCCTTGAAGCTATTTTAGGTATGTTTTTTTTGTCGTTTTTAATTTTTCTCATCAATCCAAAAGGGATTTGGATTGATGGGTTCTTGCAGAAGACTTTTTTAGATCATTTTTTTCGGGTAAATTATCTGTAAATGATGATTTTTGGGTTTTTGGTTTCTTTTTCACTTGTTTTGGTTTCTCTCTCTAATGTGCCCTTGTTCTCTGTGGTGCTCTGATTTTTCATGCTCTCCCTGTGATGCTTTGATTTTTCATGTAGCATCAGTAACTCTGTAAATCTCTGCGATCCCCATATTTTGGCCATTTCCATTCGCCTTTGCTTCTGTGGTTAGGCCTTTAAGCTTTTTTATTTTTCATTTCCCGTTTATTCATGCAAGATCTCTCATAAAATGTGCTACAAACCTAGAACAGTATCTGAACGTTGATATTATTGATCGAATGTGATTGACACTATAGTAATCAATGAAACTTTGGAATTTGGATCAATGGATTGATTGTTTATGACTAGTTGCTGTTCCTTCTTAGGAATGCACATTATTCCTTACTCAAGTAGCTATTCCTTCTTAGGTATGCAACTTGGAGCATTATTGTGGTATCAAAATTGCTATTGTTAGAAGGCCCTGCTTTCTCGTCCAGCAGGTTAGCAGTGGAATTAAGAACTTGGGGGTAAGAACCAAGTTGCTGGAACATTATATGATCTGAGTAATACTTTGATTCATTGGCAATGGATTTTTTTAGGAGTCAATGGAAGTGCTCAAGGGGCCGTCACAGGATTATTATTATTATTATTGTTTGCTATGCAAGCAGGGGTTTTGGATTCATTTTTTAGATAATGATGGGCTTGATTGTAATTGATGTTAATGGCTGAATAGGTTGCTGAAGTGAATAGTCAATTAGATGCTTTGAATGCATAAATGAAGAAATCGGATTGTTTTTGGGGAAATTAGGGAAACATGTGTATACTTCAGTAATGAATAATGTGAAATTCATTTTTTAGATAATTGAGGGCTTGATTATAATTGATGTTAATGGTTGAATAGTTGCTAAAACGAATAGTCAATTAGATGCTTTGAATGCATAAACGAAGAAATTAGATTATTTTTTGGGAAATTATGAAAATATATGTGTATACTTGAGTAATGAATGATGTGTAATTCGTTTTTTAGAACTTCCTAATCTTCAAGCACGTTATCAAACACAAGTACTTAGAACTTCTTTGCCATTTCAGCAGGTTATCAAACATAGAAACCCAAAACTTCTTATCGTAACTTCTTTCTTCCCAGCAAAGAGGAACTTCCAATTTACAGTTCATAATTTAACTTTTAGTTATCAAATAGGCTATAATAAGGTCAATACTTTTGAAGTCTGCCTTAATGAACTAATACATTGGATATCAACATTAGGAAGACCTTATGTCTTGAACAACTAATATATTATGACCCATATAAATTTGTCTATCAATTTTATTTATGTAATATAAATTATTTATTTAAATCTTTTTTGTTTTAATTGTATGTCCAGTGAATACCTATTCATTAAAATTTTATCAAAACAATAGGTATTACCGAATTTATAATTTATTTAAAAAAGCACTCAATTATGATGATAAATTCATTAAAGGAAAATTGTTTCATGCAGGCTGGATCGCATTTCTATATATGCTGTTAAGAAGTATAAAGCATCCATCTTAAAGATCGATGCAAGTATGTGGTCTATCTAAAAACAATTGAAACTAACAGTTCATATGTTTTCTTAATAGAGTAATTATTTCTAGTTTTTAAAAATTATTTATTTTTCATATTCATGATCTCCATGTTAGAGATTACATATTCTTAAAAATTAAATCCAAAAATCTAGCTAAAAAATGGATTTATTAATGGGCTCGCATTTCTACTTGTGCAGCCTTGGCCTGCATGCTAACCGCATCCTTCATTAAATTATCTCTAAGACAATATTTTATTGAAAATGTTTGTCAATAACTAATGGAATTGTATACAATGAGACCATTTACCTTTGGCATATGGAGGTCACAATTACTTACAATCATTTGATGTGAAATTTGGTAGCTTGGGTGTGTCACAAAGTACGAGAAAAATTCTTTTGAACTTTGAGCTTCGCCAATGAAATAAATGCAGCCACCCAATTTCACATCCAATGGTAAAGATTAATTGTGACCACCTTGTATCAAAGGTAAATGATCTCATTATATACGTTCCCATGGCTAATATATTTTAAAAATTAATATTTAATAATATGTGTGTATCGCGTAAGCATATAATAGTATATTTTTAAGTGTCAAAAACGAAATAAGATGGGATGGGAATTCATGTGACATTTTACCACAAGGTCAAACCACTTCAACCTTCTAGATAAGGTGCTTTTCCTACCTTTCTTTTTCCAGTCAATCTCCTACTAATTTATTCTCATTGATCTCTTTCCTATTTTTTTTGGTTCATTTGTAAAAGAACCCACCTTTTCCCTGTGTTCATATCCTGCTTTTCCCTTTAAAAATCTCTGAGAGATTTATCCTAATCAATATTTCATTATTGGTTTTGCTCATAGTGCATGATTTCTCGATTTCACCAATTTCCTTTTGATTTTCTCTCACTAACCCATACATTCTCCACCGATTTCCTTTTGATTCCTATTTTATTTTTCTTCTTTGTGAGCTTCATCCTAGATTTTGTGAGTTTGTTCGAGTTGGTCCGAAATTTTCAGGGTTTTTCTGAGTTGCTTCTAGTTTAGTTCAGCCGTATGTGTCTATGTGTGTCTATATATATATATATATATATATATATATATATATATATATATCACACACTAACTTAAGTTAGTATATAGTATTAAATAAAATAAATAATA